TTTTTTTTTTTAAGACAGTCTCTCTCTGTTGCCCCAGTCCAGAGGGCAGTGGCATCCTCACAGCTCACTAAGACCTCCAACTCCTGGGCTCAAGCAATTGTCCTGCCTCAGCCTTGGGAGTAGCTGGGACTACAAGAGCATTGCAGGGAGACAGACTGATTTTCCTATTTGTAGTAGAAACAGAATCTTGCTCTTGCTTAAGCTGGTCTCCTGAGCTCAAGTGACCCTCCCATCTTGGCCTGCCAGAGTGCCAGGATTACATAAACTAAAAAAGATTAATTGCTATTTGTTTAATATGAATGTCTCTTTACTTAAACCAATCAGAATAAAACTTGTTGAGGGATTTCTGGCAGACTGGTCTGGAAAGACCTTTTATAAGGTCTATGAACCAAATATTGGGCAATGCAGTTTGAATCAGTTACCAAGACAAGGGATTGGACTAAGAAAGCGAGGCGAGGAGCCACAAGTAATTCTGGGAGGAGGCGCCTAACGTGGGGGCGGAGACACCGGGCGGCGGCAAGCGTTAGGATGTGCTGGGTACCTGGAAGGAGAGAGCGAGGCTGGGCTGACAGCATTAAATCTTCTGCGCCAAGCAGCGCGCAGGCACAGAGAGACTCCGGGCACTGAGCTATCCATTCATTGTAAGGCACTTGCGGTCTGGGAGATAGGGACAGTCAAGAGACGGAAGGCAGGTTGCAGGGGGAGGGGATGGCAGCTGGAGGCAGCAGGACTTGGAACCCCTAAGTGAGGCTCCTGGGAGACCTTTGGGGGCCCTAGGGTCACCAGGCTACCTAGTGATGGAGACGCGCCAAGGGGGTGCCACGGACGATAGTGGGGGAGGCTTTGAGAATTTTTCCTTTTTTCTTATACGGTTACCATGTACCACATAAATGCATTGTTTACTATTACAAAATTCAGTTTTCAAATGCCTTTAGAAATTTGTTTTGAAAGTTGATAAGATTTGTTCTAAGAGCATTGCCTAGGCTTAAGTGCAGACGCCCAAGCGCGCACGTGTGCGCGCGTGTGTGTGTGCGCGCTCGCGCTATTAAAACTACTAGATATAGGCATCTACCAGGACTACGGGTTAGTTTGGTTGGTTGGCTTTGTGTATTTTTGTTTGTTTGTTTGCTTTGCTTTTTTTTTTTTCTGATAGAAAAGCCTCATTCTGTCTCGCAGAGTGGAGTCCGGTGACGTCATCACAGCTCACTGCAACCTCCACCTCCTGGACTCAAGCGATCCATCTCAGCCTCCTGAGTACCTGGGACTGCAGGTGCGCCCTAGTACACACGGTTAATTTTTCTATTTTTACTGGAGATGGGGGGGCTCACTCTTCCTCAGGCTAGGGGCTAAATTTTTTGCTTTACATCACAGGGTACACTTTCCTAAGAGTCCCAGGGAGCAGCGGGGCTGGGAGACGGGTTGACTATGCTGTTCACTTTCTTACTTCCTTCCCAGACCGCCTCTAGCGCCAGCGAAGCCCCGGAACCGTCCCAGCGATGAGCAGCTCAGGCTTCGGCCCCCAGGACTGGTTACTGCGAAAGCTGCAGCTCTTGCGCTCTGTGCTGGTGGCCCACAAGTCCCAGCCCGGTCAGCGCCCGGTGGAGTACCTCGTGATAGTGGCGGGCTCGGCCGGCGTGGGTAAGAGTTCCCTGATGCAGCGCTGGGCTGGGAGCGCGCACTTGTCTACCACTGAGAATGACTACTGCCGGTTGCAGGGCTGTGACCACGGCGTCACCCCGCTGCGCATCACAGATAGTGCGGGCGGCCCACACTGCCCCGCCGCGCTGCAGCGCAAGTCTGTGAGGGAGGGTCACGCATTCATCCTGCTCTACTCTGTCACCAAGAGGGAGACCTTGGAAGAGCTGAAGCCCTTCTACGAGCTCATCCGCAAGATTAAAGGCCATGACTTGTGCAGGGTCCCGGTCGTGCTGGTTGGCAACAAGAGCGATGCGCTGGGCCGCGAGGTGGCCCTGAGCGATGGCGCCACCTGTGCGTCGGAGTGGAATTGCGCCTTCATGGAGATTTCGGCCAAGATGGACGTGAATGTTCAGGAATTGTACCACGTGCTGCTGACCCAGAAGAAAATGTTCGCTGCCTGCTTCCAGAGGCCCCCAAAGAAATCCCCCGTGCCCAAGGGCACCGATAAGCTGCTCGGCAAATGCATCGTCATGTGAGCCTTAGGCCTTAGGAGCAGAAATCACCTACCCTGCAGTGCGCACAAATCATGGGCTGATATATGTCACGTGTTTGTGGTGTGTGTGTGTGTGTGTGTGTGATGTCACGTCCAGTAGTTTAAACAGTAATATCTGGGACAGTAAATGTACCTTGTGAGTTAATAACATTTTTCTCAGGCAAGAGAACTCAAATGGTTAAAAACACTTGGCATTTGAGGAGAATGAAAAAGTAACATGAAGAATTTTAAAAACATCTTTAATAATAAATTTGAGAAAATGTTCTGAATAGAATAAAACATCAAAATGAATTCAAAGATGCCACCATCCTTTTGCTAACCCTATGATTGTGTATTATTTTTAAACATTTCAACTCCTGTGTTTAATCATGTCTTTTGATTGTGTATTTAATTGAAAAATGTGTTTCCACAACAAACACTTCACCAAATTGCTGTGGGCAGATAAACAAAAGACTCTTCTATAGCTGACCGTGGGGGTGGGGCAGAGGCAGAGAAAACTGTGAGTGTAGAACCCTCTCACCAAAGACATGTTGTTTCCCGTGTCATTTAAAAATGTTCCAGTATCCCACACAGTTTTAAAAAGTGTTCCTACTTCCTTGACTCAATAAAGCTTTTCTTGCGTGCAGTCAGCTCTAAGAATTTCTTTCCTGGCTCGGCGCCTGTGGCTTAAGCAGCTAAGGCACCAGCCACATACACCTAAGGTGGCGGGTTCGAATCCCCAGCCCAACAATGATGGCTGTAACCAAAAAATGACCAGGTGTTGTGGCAGGCGCCTGTAGTCCCAGCTACTTGGGAGGCTGAGGCAGGAGACTCGCTTGAGCCCAGGAGTTGGAGGTTGCTGTGAGCATGATGCCATTGCACTCTACCCAAGGGATAGCTTGAGGCTCTGTCTCCAAAAAAAAAAGAATTTCTTTCCTACTGGACAAAAAGTTGCTGTTACATTAAAACCTATGTTAATGTTTCCACTAAGAACTTCACACCTGGACATCCTTGCCTTCTTGAAATTAGCCAATGGCAGAGGGGGGCCCTCCAGTGCAGAAGTGTTTTGTGCCCTTCTCATTTCCTAGACCCACCTCTGGAAGATCCTCAAAGACCACGTTGCTGTGTCAGGGGAAGCAGGTAAAAGCTTCAGCCTTCTGATGTCTCAAAAGTCTTTCCTCAAAAGATAGGTAAGGTACGGAATAGAGAACAGGATGGAAGGTGAGAGGAAGGAGAGATGGGTGGGATTTGAAATTTAAGGAATTCTCCCATGAGGGAATCTTTTTTAAAGATTAATTTTGTATTTGGACATAATTTTTTTGAGTGAGGAAGCACTCCAACAGAGCCCAAGCTCGTGCCACTTGCTACAGGACGGCCAGTAAGTTGAGAGGAGAAGCGACTTGTATTCAGAGGGCCAGAAACTGAGAAGATGGTGGACTAATGTCCTAAGGAAATGTTGTAAGTTACTATGAACTTTGGACTCCTTTCTGCCATGGACTGCAGACATCTGAGTGTCAGTGAGGGTCTGAGGAAGTTGTAGAAGTTCTTTGCTGTTGGTGGGTTAACTCTGGATGAGGTCAGGTGGGACGTGCCTGTGAATCTGTAACATGGCATTGTTACTTGTGTGTATACTTTTTTTTTTTTTAATCTCCCTAGGGGATAGTTTGGGGAAAGGGAAAATTCTCTTTCTTTTAGAGTTGAACTACAACCTAAATTCTTTCTGTAATTAGTGCAGAGTGAGGCAGAAGCTTTTAACCTAAAGGATGTTATTGCGCTGCAAAAGGTTCACTCCATAGCCTTGAGGAGCTGGGGCAGTGCAGCTTCCTGCTGGGCAGAGTCAACACCAGGGACTGTGGACTGAAGCTGTCTGACCTGGGAAACACTTGCTAGTGTCCTTTGGAACCTTTCCCTCTTTGCCTGCTTGGTGGTGGTCAGACATACAGAGTTCTTGTTGTAGAATATATACAATAAGTCTGTCAGTATGTGTATCATCACAAGCAAAGATAACAGTGAGATCTAGTTTAAGAGTGCTTCTCAGGATTGACCAGATTCCACTACAAATCCAAGAGATGAGGTCTGTAACCCAGTTGCTAAGGTTGTCCGGACCATGCATCTGAGTTACAGAACTAATCTGTGTGTAACTGCCTTATACTAAAATAACAACCATCCTGATTCATTCCTTGGCTTACTGATTTCTTAGTTCTGGTTTTATTATAAAATTACAAAAAAGAAGAGGCCATGAATTGTGGAGTTAAAGGCTTCGCATAGATTAGGAGGGTTCCCCATAGCTGTACTATTTTGCAGGGTGAGAGATCTTAGTATGAGAAGAGTCAATACAATTTTTACTCTGTAGAGGACTTGGAGAAAGGGAATGGGTGTAGACAGAAGTCTTGTACCAATTTGGTGTTAATAACTGAACAGGTTGTACCTGTGTCCATTAAAAAGTGTGTTCCTCGCTGTCAAATATACTTGGAGCTCCCGTGGGGAAATACGAACGGGGGCCCAGCCCTGTAGCCTGCTTGCCATAATGCCATTAGCAGACTGTTTTTATCTAAAATTTTAGAGCAGTACACTAATCTTGGCCTGCCATGTCCTTAGGGTCTGCTTATGATTTGGTATCTTAGCATCGCAAAGACTCCGTTCTATCAATCTTACGACCTTTGTCTCCATTAACGCTGGTCAGTTGTGCCTAAACCCTAAAAGGGAAAGAGTGCAGGAGGTGTGTCCACCTCCCTAACTTTTCTGGCTAGGGACTCAATTGTAAGTTATTTCTAGGGTCCCTTTGGCCAAGCGGGGGCCCATTTGGGGAAGGGAGACTTAATATTCTTAGTTTACAGAATCATAACATACATTTTACACTTGTATAGACAAAGTTTCAAGCTTAAATAATCTGCTCAGTGGCTCCTTTTTAAATAGTTATATAAAATCTTCTCTGTTCACTTCCATGGCAATTATTCTCAACCACTAGACACTATCTAAATGGTTCTGACCTATTGCTTTTCAATGAATTCTATCCTTAGAAAATAATTCTTAACCAAACTCTCTAATGGAGTCATTCCCTTTCTAAAATAAAATTCTCTACCTTGGCTATTTTCTAGAAGAATTCTTGGAAAATGGGTTGTGTTCCTTGTTGCTCCTTGTTGGTGAGCAAAGGGATTACTCAGAACTTGGGTGGCATAAAGTCACCTTCAGAAAGGGTTACAGGGAGAGTAAAAAGGTGGACTATTTATACAGTCCATATGCATGCCAGTATCTCTGTGTTATACAAAACGTAGCTTTCCACTGTGAGTAGAGTACTGTGGTGTCATATTCACAACAACCTCTAACTCCCCGGCTCAAGCAATCCTCCTGTCTCAGTCTCCCAAGTAGCTGGGACTATGGGCACTCCCGTGATACCTGGCTAATTTTTCCTATTTTTAGTGGAGAAAGGGTTTTGCTGTTGCTCAGGATGGTTTTGAACTCCTGAGCTCAAGCAATCCATCTGCCTCAGCCTCCTAAAGTGCTGGGATGACAGGCAGGAGCTGCTGAGCCTGGGCTTCTCACATATTTTTCAGCACATTTAGTGCAGTAGGAAAAACCTTGATAAATACCATGGGATGCTTAGAAAGTGTCAACAGTGATGCAGGAAGTGCCCCCAAGAAGCAGAGAAAAGTCCTGACGTTACAAGAGAAGGTGTAATTGTTTGTTATACCCCAGGCCCTGGGGGGGCTGCCCTGCCAATGCCCACCATTTCAAGATAAATGAATCCAGAGTAAGGGCTATGATGAAAAAAGAAAAGTAAATTCAGGAAGCCATTCCTGCAGTAATGAAAACCTGTCCTTTTCTGTGAAATACCTTTTCATTGCATACTGAGAATGTAGCTTTTATGTGGCACAGGATTATAAGAAGTTCACATCTATAGATTCCACCATGATTCAAGAAAAAGCAAAGTTGTTACGTGACAACCCAAAGCGAGATGAAGGTGGAGATCTGAAGGTGGCCCACGCTGCCTGGTGCCTCAGAGGGAAGCTGTAGCCCACAGATGTGCAGAGCACATCACAGGCTGAGCTGCTGCTTCTGGGGAAGAGTCCCCTTCGCTGGCACCACTGGCCACCAGGCTACTGTGTGTCTCTAGGTGGGGAAGGGCATTCTGTCCTGCAGGGGAGAGGAGCATTCCCTTGCCAGGCACTTGTGGCAGGATGGCTCCCTGCAGGTGTCCCCAAGCCAACCTCTAGTGTTCCTAGGGAATAGAGGTTTCATTTTATTTATTTATTTTTTTAGCTTTCACTTATGCACTGTACAAGTGATGGAAAACTATTCACCCAGATTGCAGGAACCTGAAGCTGTCTTCAAATTCTCTCTTCCCTTGAATTTCGTAGAACAAGTTAAGAACTTAGGAATCTGAAAATGTGAGTGGGACACTCATGTCTGACACTACTAAGCTGTGTGATGTTTGGCTAGTCACTCTGGAATTCATTTCATTATACCTGAACCTCAGTGGTCTACTAGATGTTATCTAAGTCAGTTCATTTAATGGATACTTATCCAACATCTGTTATATGCCAGGCTCTGTGTTCAGGCCTGGGCAGAGACAAGTAAGACACCATCTCGAGAAGCTCACAGAGAAAACTGAACATTCCACAAGGTAAGGGACATTTCTTCTTTGTTCATTACCATTTTAGGCATATAACAGGTGGCTTACTGGGCTTCAGTTGGGAAGACAGAAGCTACTCTGGACCTTCTGAGTCTGCAGAAACCTAGGTCAGTGAACTGGCATCTAACACAGATGCTGAACAGGCTGAAGAAGCAAAGACCAACAGGCCGCCTGAGAAAACTTGAAGTCTTCAGTTCTGCGAATCATCAGTGACTCTCACCCACGGTTCCAGCTCCCGTCCTCAAATGCTGCTCTGCTGATAGCAGTTTCCCTCTCTCTACATCCTTCCAAATCTTACAGGAGTTCCTCTCATTGTCAGTTGTCCAACCCAGAGCAATCTGTGGAAAGAGATCCTGGGTCACAAAGAATATGGAAGAAGGAATGTTAACACCAAGCAGGCCGGGGACAGTGTGCCACAGTGGTCAGCCGGTACGCAGGACACGAGCAGTGAGCAAACGGGAGACATCACGAGTGATTGCAACACAGCGGGGCAGTGACAACGTTAACGCCAAGCAGACCGGGGAAGTGTGCCACAGTGGTCAGCTGGTACGCAGGACACAGTGTGAGCAAACGGGAGACATCATAAGTGACTGTGACACAGCAGGGGAGTGATAATTACACCAGCTGTGCTCACTAGTCTATGGGGCAAAGGAACACAGTGGGCAGGGGGAGTGTGGGGTGCAAGTCGGGGAGTGCAGGCCATACAGAAAAGCCCCAAAGAACAGTGGCTTCGACTAAACAG